ATATATATATACATTGTATAACATATGATAAATGACAGTGGGTGGGATTTGTAAAGCGTTTTATAAAGCTAGTACTCTGTAATTCTCAAAGGTCAAGAGTCGGCATGTGTTTTTTTCTCGCTCGAGGCAGGCTTGCACTGGGGTACGAGGATTTTCATTTAGCCACTACAGCTATAGCTATCGCTGAGGGGGACGCCTCAAAGCGGGGAGAGGGTTTTTCGTTTCGGCCATGACTTGCGTTCGGTCAGATCGGACGTATGTATTACTTTCAGTAGGCTTGGTAGTTGATAGCCATCTTAGACAGACTTGTTTACTTTTCCAAGTCTCCGTACAGTACGGCCTCGATCTTCTCCGTGGATTTTCACGCTCAGACTAGAGGTAAATGCCGACTCAAACAAAAATGCAGAAATTTAAAATTTCTAATTTTGGTGTGATGCGCATCAGCACATCGTAATAACAGGCGTACGATTGTGCTCGATCGTATTGGAATTGTGCTGCTATTGTGTATGACTATAGACATGTTACGTTTGCATGTTTAAGTCATCTGATGTATCTCGTCCCATGAGTAGTGTGCATGCATTGAGTTCGTGTGTGCGTGCTTGCTCGTGGTTCCCGATGACACAAATGAGGTTAAAATGGTCACTGGGAAGTAATATATATAACTTGATCTGAGTTATTATAGGAGATATAAGTGACGATTACGATACAGGAAATCAGTTTAACTTGATGGAAAAACGTGGAGGTATAATTTACAATATTTCCTAACACAAGCAGCACATTCCAGTTGAAGGTTCTTTAGATAGATTGAAGATAAAAGATTTTAATACAATAAGTCACGTGAAAACAAAATTTAAAATAGACATAAACAAAGGGAATTTTTAACAAGATAGCAAATTAAAGATTAGAAAGATAGAAAAATAAATTTGATTGATACGTCATATAAAAATGAGAATAAAGGTTTGAGGGATAGAAAAATAAATTTGATTAATACCTCATGTAAAGATAAGAATAAAGATTTGAGGGATAGAAAAATAAATTGGATTGATACCTCATCTAAAGATAAGAATAAAGATTTGAGAGATAGAGAAATAGATTTAATTAATACCTCATCAAAAGACAAGAATAAAGATTTGAGCTAAAGAAAAATAAATTTGATTGATACCTCATCTAAAGACAAGAATAAAGATTTGAGAGATAAAGAAATAAATTTGATTGATACGTCATCTAATAATAAGAATAAAGATTTGAGAGATAGAAAAATAAATTTGATTAATACCTCATGTAAAGATAAGAATAAAGATTTGAGATATAGAAAAATAAATTTGATTGATACCTCATCTAAAGATAAGAATAAAGATTTGAGAGATAGAGAAATAAATTTAATTAATACCTCATCTAAAGGCAAGAATAAAGATTTGAGCGATAGAAAAATAAATTTGATTGATACCTCATCTAAACACAAGAATAAAGATTTGAGAGATAGAAAAATAAATTTGATTCATACCTTATCAAGATAGAAAATTAATGATATAAAAATGGAAAGATAGCTTTGATGATACCTCAAGTAAAAATAGCAAGGATTTAAAAATAGAAAGATAGACTTGATGGATACAAGATTATTTTAGCAAGAAAGCAAATTAAAGCTTTGAAAAATAAAAAGATAAATTTAACTAATACAAGATTATTATAACAAGGTAGCACATTGAATATTTGAGAGAAAAAAAAATGATAAATTTAATTTTGATTAATAAACCTGAATATTTCC